TTTAATAAATAAAAAATATTAGTATTCCTAATGGATTTATTACACATAATTGAAAAAGAACAAACACGTTAACTCTGACTATTATCTAAAAGCAAATTTTCACAAATCAATAATTTTTATAATTGAACCGTTTCCGTAAGACTTTATGGTTTAGTATGAGATTAAGACCAAGTACTCTATCGTTATATCAAATAAATGGTCTAATTTTAATCTAAACAAACGCCAAAAAACTACTCATTTTCTCAAACTTTGATGAGTTTTTAAAATTAAACTACTTGTGGCAAGACCGTAATATTTAAGTAAGTTCTATAAGACCATGATATATATCGCCAAAAAAGTTCCATAAAAATCGGCTTAATTTTTTTTTGGCAGTTAATTACAAGAAAACGGCTAGATAGATTTTCACCTAAAACTAATCAGTGTCATTTGCATCTAAAATAATTCGAAAAGTTTTTCATTTTTTAAAATCGATTCGGTAGTATGAACTTAAATGTAGACGATCGTCGTACAAAACTGAGAAACGATCATCCTAATCGAGATACATCTACTGGCTTTTAAATTTCTGAAATCGGTTAAGTCGTTTTTGCCAAAAAAACGATGCTAATTTTTGCAAAGTTTGACAATTATTTAAAGTTAAACGAGTTGTCATAGGACTGTAATATTTTAGTATGATCTATAAGACTATGGTATCTACCGTCAAAAAAAAAAATATAAAAAAAAATCGTCGAAAACATTTTTTTAACACAACGGCCCGGCCAAAAACTAATCAGCACGATTCCCAATCAATATCTTTCGAACGGTTTTTGAATTTTCAAAATCGATTCAGAATTGCGGGCTAAAACGTGGACCATTTTTTTCATTTTTCTGCTATTTATAAAAAAAACTGCTTGGCCGATCGTCGAACGAAATTAATAAAAGCAAGTCCTCATGCAGATACATCAAATGGCTTTTAAATTTTTGAAATCGGTCCAGCCGTTTTACGGCAAAAACGTCAATTTACGGGAAAAAATTGGTTCACATACACACATACACATACATACTTTTTCGAATTTGGTCTCATTCGATTCAGAATGGCTTGAAACGTCGAGAAAACATAAAATTAGGAAATCGGATTTTTTTATGAAAACATAAACTTCTCCTTCGGGAAGTTAATAAACGCCATTTACAATTAATATTAAACGTTGTGTTTCCATTATAATGCAGTAAAGATAATCGCCTCGGAAAAGGTTCGCTCGCGCACGAGAACCGCCGCACGAGCGCTGCTTATATACGCATGTTATGCGTTTCAAAGGAGGGAAATGCATTCATATCAAACTTGTCTTGTTGCAGTTTGTACTTCCATAGGAAACTAGAGCACGAGAAACTGAATTGCGAAAAGTGAGTGTGTGATTAACCGTGGAAAATATGCGAGAGAATAAATACTGATTCGTCATTAAGATTATGGCAATCAATTTCCTTTTTATTACACGCATTCTTCTGCATTTCTATTAATATTTTATACCAGACATTAAAATAGTTTAATGGTATAAATTATAAATATGTATTGTTATGATAATGTTATAACAAATACTGAATGCATCTATATAAAATATGCTGTTTCTCCTATATGTAATTGCACAGGTTCATAAATAATTGCTGCATTAGGTATGCGTCATATATTAGGTATTTGCCAAATGCCTTCTTAGACTGAATATGAATTTAAATCAAAATTGAGAGTCAAACCGCAAAAAACGGAGTAAAATTTAAAAAACTACAAAATTTCCTAACTAGACATTTTTTTGCATTATAACAAACATGTTATTTTTTGTAAATGACCTGTGCCTTCTAGCAGTAATATGCGAATACATTTACTCCTCATTGCCCCTGGATAATCTGCAAACATTTGCAGTTATTTCTATTATTATTACAAATACTGGCAACTATTAAACATTCAAACGCGTAAAATATATTAACATAATATTAATGATCCTTACTTTTGTATACTATTAAACACTGCATGATCATATTTTTTAACTTCTTGTAGGGTAGGTATAGTAATGAGCTGAAAATCGAAAATGAAAATGCATATCTTGACGGTTTGAAGATTTCTGAACATTTTGGCATACCTCAGAAAATATTGATGTGTGTTTGTATGTCCGCATTTTTTCGTCCACGTTTTCGGGCGCACGGATCAAAGGATTTGAATGGTTCAAAAAACATTCGATTTCTATTGATAGGTAGATGTGCTGACTAGTATTTGGCAAAGGCAGGTCCAGCCATTACGGAGATACGGAACAAAGAATGCAGAAAATACAAATCGAGTTTTTGAGTTTTGATAGAATGAAGTATCCGATTTGAATGATCTAAAAAAACATTCAATTTGTAATTATTGCGAGAAGAGGTGATGATTACTTACCTAAGTTTTTAACTTTCCAAAAAAAGTATGTTTTAGCCGAAATTTGGCTTGCTAATGTTATGTTTTTCAGTGCTTTAACTACTTGAACTAAAATTGGAGATTATTCTGAAATTTTGTCTAATATATATATATATATATATATATATATATATATATATATGTATATCAAAACAAAATTAGCAAATACTTTCTTTTTTCACTGATATCTTTTTTATGTTTTTGTACAGTATATCGTACAATGATAAATTAAGAATTATATGTCATACCAGGAAGGTTTTATAATAAAAATCATATAATATAATTATATCTAAAACAAGCCGCTTTGATTAATGTGCCATTTACACCTATAAATTATTTTTTCCGACTTATACTGGATTGAATCATATTTCCTGATGATTTCTTACATAGGAAAAAACGTCTGGTTGGACGATTATCGTGGAAAAGCTAAATGAGAAAGTGAAGT